TTGGTGGTGATCTTTTCACTTGGATTTTACTTTCTTTGCCTTGTTCACTTAAATTGTTGTCATTGCTGTTTGCCTTCCCCATTAAATGCAGTATAGGATTGGAAACTCACTCGTTCAAGTACCCTGGGTACACATGAATTTGTAAAACTTTATTATCTCACAAAGGCAGATTCACATATGTTCGAAACATGGCATTATTATAGAACACAGGGTTAGTATTGCAGTTTTATAAAAACTTGAAGCCTTCCTTGCTTCTTCAGAGTTTTCTGATCAATGGGAGGGCTCCTCTGGCTGCCAGGCCTGCTAGGGAACTTCTTCACATTGGTGAGTTACTGATCCTGGTCTTCAGGCCTTGCAACACAGAAACCCATAGCCTCAGAGAGGAGCCCACAGTTAATCCTACTATTAGTAAACCCAGAAATCTACCCCTGCTGGATGAAGATCTTGCTGAGTCTCTCCATCAGCACCAAGTGTAAAGGCTGGAAACAGGACACTCAGTGATTAGGAGATAAGAGAAGAGACAACATATCCCTAGCATATTTTTCCCTTGTAACCTCATTAAGATATTTTTCCAGCACCAGTGTGTGGTTCGATGTCTGTAACCAGCTACTCAGGACGGCAGAGACAAGAAGATCAAAGTCCCAAAACCAGGCCTAGGCAAAGTCAGTGCAAGCCCCTATTTTGAAAAATTAAAATAAAGGACTGAGATTGTTGGCTCAAGTGGTAGAACACTTGACTAGCAAGGTTGAGGCTCTGAGTTCCAATCTCCATACTGCCCCCCATACACAAAAATCAGACTTTATTTGGTTTGTAAAATTCCCTGCCCACTTAGACAAAAACCATATAAACCCACATTTCTGTTACACAACAAATTAAATGGAGTTTTTTAGTTAACATCAGAGAGAAATATCCAAAGACATAAAGACATGGGGAAAAATCAAATTTCAAATGAGGATCTCAAAAGTCATATAAAGTCTAACCAGAGGACACTTACACCAACTTTGGTGTGGAGGTGGTGGGGGTTCGGGACTGTGTGTGGAAAGACACTATGGAGAGAGAGACCCATAATGCTGAGAGGAGTCAGAGCTGAAGAAAGGAAACGGGATGGACTCAGTGTGCAAAGACAATGACACCTAGATTGATGAGGAGCAGAGCCCATCACAGAACACAGTCCAGGAGAGAGTGGCTGGGCCCTGTGTTCTTCTCAGTATAAAAGGCAAAGCATTCTTCTTGAGGTAGCATCCACTGCAGCTTTCCGTGTACAAATAGACTATCTTCATGCATCAATTCCAGGACACAGAAGCCCAATTTGGAGACCTGGAGAAGGCTACATGTCTGGACCTCACTGGCCTACTGGTCTAAATATTATATTCAGTAAGGGAGAAATGGGGCTGCCTGTGAGAGGACTTTGAAATAGATCACCTTCAGCAGAGGGAAGGTGGCCAGAAGGCTGGGGTCAAGCTCTTCAATGTAGAGGAGAACTTCCAACAGGTGAATGTCAGCCTTGCTCAATCTGTTGCCAACAAGGTAGTCTTGTCCATGGCTCTTCAACGCCTGCAGAATTGGAGGAGTCAGCTTATTAACACTCAGTCAGACTGGAGACTGCCTCTTCCTGAGCCTCTAAACTTAACTCTCCCCCTTTTCTTCCTCACTGGACAGGTGTGGAGTTCCAGGCCTTTCTCCTGGCTCCTGATCAATAACAGAGAGTGAGAAGTACGGTTGGCTCACTCCTCTATTATAACCCTGGCCACTATTTTTTCTCATGCCCACATCTCTCTGGTATTCAGATTACCTACCCTTACTGCATCTTCCACAAGTGCGAAAGGATGAGGTCATGCTACACCTGTTTATGTCTCCCCCCAATCTCAAAATGGTACAGCCCTGAGATTTAAGGAGGTGCCACCCCCTCTGTTATCTCCCACCTCCTATGGAAAGTGGCTCCACCTTCATGACAGTACCTAGCCTCCTTAGGTAAACTATTTCAATGTCTTCATCTCTCTTCTTCTCTGCTGTCCTCAATTACTGATCACCTCTCTGAGATCTCAAGAAAACCTGAACTTGATTTCATCATCTCCCTTGTAACACTGGCTCTGACTCCTAAGTTACACTTATCATAATCTCCATGCTGAAATGTCTGGGATGAATGGCACTGATGTCTACAACTAACTTTGTACTGATGGAAAACAAATATTTGACTAATGGAGACAAGAGCGGAGAGATGGACACACATGGTAAAGCCAACACCACAAGATGTTAATCTTGTTACTTAGTAGGTGACTATGCATTCATTAAGCATTTATTTCAGTCTTGGAGTCTAGCTCAAGTCTTAGGCAGCTTGTCCAGTGTGTCTGAGGCCCTGGGTTCAGTGTCCAGTACAACAACAAAAACAAAACATGAACAAACAAACAAAAAACCCATTTAAAAAAATTTCTTGAATGTATGAAATTGCATATAAAATCTTGGGAAATATGTGATATTTTAAAAGTATTTCAGCAGTAGGGGAGTCATTGGGAATAAAAAGGGGAAATACATAACATCATAAACTAAAGGAGAACCACCGTTAAACATCATTTGGTAAATAGCCTATCCCACTATGCACATATATATGGAGAGAAGAATGACTAATTGCCTGGTGCAAAAACAGAATATAGCAGGAATTCTATCTTGTACTATAAATAGCTCATTTCTTCCATGAAGCTCTCTGATTTCACAACAAAGATGACTTAAACTGTAATGGCTGGAAAGCTTGTCATCATGTCATATATCCAAAACTATCGGCAACACAGGGCCCAAAGGAGTATATGTGATGGTATGACTGCTCCTAAAATCTCCACTGCTTTCATACAGGTACTACATATATAATGGTGGGCCTTTATTTCTTTAGTTTGCATGGCTTTCCTCTCAAGTCTGAGAGCCAAATGACCTAAGTTCATTTTTCTTAATGTTTCTTCTTCTCCCTTATATCTCCATCTTCCCACCACCTTTCTCATCCATCCTGTCAAATCCTCCTGACAGGCTGCTGCTCTCCTGTGACCCTCCACGTGATGTCAGAACATTTTCTGATGTGTGTTCATCAGCTTGTTCTGGAATTCAGGTCCATGTTGTCCTGCAGCATCGAGTCCACCCTCTGCTGTGGCTCAGAGCCTCCCACAGATCAGATCCTAGTTATACCTATAAAATCTATTGAACACTGAATACTAGGGTGCAAAAAAGTGAACTTGTGCTAAAAATTATAACTTTGGCAGAACTGTGCATTGCTTCTCCATGGTCCATTTTTCTAAAATACATTGAGGGCCGGGGTGCAGCCCTGGTGCTCAGGAAGGCTCACTGGAAGTGAGGTTGATGCTCTAGGACAGCCCAGCCATGATTTCCTCTCATCCTCTGAACCCAGTGCTCCAAACTCTGCACGGGCTCTCTTACATTTTCAAAGACGGGCAAGTAGCGATTCACTGTTCTGTCTTTGAGCAAGGCAATCTTGGCGTCTTTTTCATCTGGAGGACTTAATGGCAGAAGAATGAACATCTCATTCAAATCAGCCATACCTTCTGTGTACATATCAATCCTGAAAGACAAAAACACCCAAACAAATATTTTCTACCTTAGATTTTAGTTTTAAAAAAAACCTAAGATAGTATCTTGTCCAGTGGTACAAAAGTAATTCACCTTCAGTGGGTGCTTTTCATGTGCTAGTTATTGTCTGATAAGGTTTACTTAGGTATTAACAATTTCTTAGAACAATCTACCACGGTGCGTATAAACTCAAAAATTTTTGTTATACCTGTGACTAAACACAGGCACCAAGACCATGGGTGGCCCAGCCGAGTTACAGTTATGACAGAACATGATAGAATCACTTTGTATTTACCAACCCTACAAATAAGGGTTCTCTCTCTCTGTATGGTTTATTACCTGCACAAACATAGTGTGAGTCCTATGGCTAAAGACATCCCTCCCATGTAAATTCAAGACCGAATCCCAGGTCCTCCTCTCATCTCCATCTCTGCTCCTGTCTCAGATATTCCTCTCTGCAGTATCTAATCCAACCCCATGTGTCTCAGAGCCTTCCTCAGACCAGTTTCTAGTTATACCTACACAATCTATTGAATACTGAATACTAGATTGGGATGCAAAAAAGTGAATTTTATACACCAAAGCTCGCTTTCATGTTCAATGTTAGAAATTCTCCTGATTGTTTTTCATGAAACACGTTTCCACAACCTTCTCCCCATGCTATTTGCCAACCCTAGTCTTGTTCCCATTTCTCAAGACTTGGTCTAAAAAAGCTCTTTACTTGTTGCTGTTGCTATTCAGATACCACCATTGCATATTACAGGAGGCTTGACTTCCTATGGTTGAAAACTTGATTTTTTTACAATTCTTTTTGAAAACAGCTTTATTTACATATATTCACATATGATCACTATTTGTCCTTTAAAAGATAATATTCAGTGTTTTTACTATATTCACAGAATTTTTGCAAACATTAACATTCTCTCATTTCAGAACATTTTGCCACTCCACTTATCCCCAAATCTTGCATGGTTTAGCAGTCACTCTCCATCTCCTTCCTTCCTGCCCCAGGCAACACCTGATCTATTTTATGTCTAACAGTGTTAGTGTTGTGAACATTTCACACAAAATATAAAATATGTGACCCTTCGTGTCTGGTTTCCTTTATGTTACAAAATCTTTTTAAAGGTTATCCTTGTTATAGCATGCATCACTGCTTCATCTCTTTAAAACCAAAACTATTCTACTGCATGCCAATAGCACATTTTGCTCACTGATTCAACCATTATGGGATATTTGGGCTGTTCCCACTTTTTGAAAATTGTGAATATGGCACTATACAACTATTAGTAAAAGTTTATCTGCATTTCTCATGGTAATATACCAAGTATTGGAACTGCCAACTGACACTAGCTTTTTGAAGAACTGTCAACATTTCCGTATAGGATTTTGCGTTTCCATCACAACAGGGGTGAATACCCCCAGCTTTGGTGGAATAAAGGCAGTCTGACTGAGTTAGTCCTGCAGGAAATGTTTCAGATAACCCTGATATCTTGGGCACCAGTCTCTATTCCCCTTATCAAGTTCATCAGTCTATTGAACTAGGTGGTAGTTTAGGTCCGTGGTCATCATTATTATAATTTCTGGCAGTTCAGGAATCAGCTCTATTGAATCCTTCTCTTTCAGTACTCCTCTTCTACACCTTGAAACCCTGGGTCCCTTGTCCCAAGCTGTTACTGAGTTCAATCTTTATAATAGCCTGTGCTTCTGGATTCATGACTCAGTCATCCTCAGGACTTCATGGATCATCATTGTTTGAAACTCTGTCCTGTGTTGAGAACATTATCCTTGGCCATAGTCACACTCGCCTGAACCCACCCCAAATTTACTCTTCCCTAGTCCACAGGTCTCTGCCATAGTCATCTCATTGTATATGCCTGCAGCTGGTCATAATCCCCTGCTGTGCTCCAACCCACTCAAGGAGGAATCTATATCCTTTTTGTGTTATCAGTTGATGTAAAAACAGAAAATACACCGTACAGTACTCTCTCCTTCATGTCTTTCCCGTAGAGATCATATTTGCTGGCAATGTAGTTGAGGATGGCTCTGGACTGTACCAGCTTCATCCCATCAATCTCCACCATGGGCACCTGCTGGAACATCAAATTCCCGTCTTTTGGAAAAAGGAAAGAAAAGGGATAATGAAATGAGGATGAATTTCATTTTTTCCTAAGATGACTGAAGGTACAAAAGGAAGGAAAAAGATCACCTAGCAATCTTTCAAATCAAATAGCATTTTATTTTTAGCTTTCTGTTTCTTCTTTTTCTCACCTGCCTTCCTTTGGCTTTTTAAACTATTTCATTTGCCTTTTATTTCCCATCCACATATATACTAGATCTTTTGTGTTTTTGTGTTTAATTCATCTTCATGGATATTTTAGGAAGGTTAGGAGGAACTAAAGAGGGTCCTGATGGAAGTTTCTATGTAGACGTCTGATTGTGTGGAACTCCAAGCCTGCACTGTAGGTGGGACAGTAACTCATCACAGCCATGGATGAAAAAGCAGAATGTAACTGTCCCATCTGTTCCTCCTCCTGTGATCTAATGCTTCCATCTAATGTGATCACATCCCTGTGTGTGCTTGGATGGAGGGCGATGTGGGATCCTGAGCTGACTGCAGCTCATTCTGGCACAGGAAGAATGAAAAAGCAAGGAGAGGGCATTCATGGGGAACTGGGCGAATACTCAGAGCAGTCTAGTTCTTTCTAACACTGACTGAGTTGTCAGACTGTCATGGAGCCTCACCCCTTACATTATACCATACCTCCCTGCCTCACGAACCTCCCCACCCATCTACCACCCTACCAACACACTGCCATTCTCTGGTGTGGAAACTTTGTATGGGATACCCTCAGGAGGGATATTTAGATACTTGGTCTTACCAGTTTTTAACTTTTCCAACTCCTCTGGAGTTGCTATAAACTTCTCTTCAAACTGGAAGCAGAAAAAGTAAATAAGTTCATGTAGCTCCTTATACAGTATTATAGTCATAAATTTGGGTGGTCCCTATCTGGTAGTGAATATGGAGAAGTTAAAATTTCTGAGGTGGCAGTGGACACAGAGGAGGATGATCACTGCCCTTGGAGATTTTGACTAGATCCATCAGGAAATGGACATGATTCACAGTACACAGCTGCTCATTCTTATGGTTTCCCTCTGTCTTGACTCCACAGATATCCGTGGCTAGGTCATGATTTGGGAGGAAAGGTACTGGAGGTCAGTGCCTGGGATTTGCTTCCGTTTTTGAGGTTTCAGAATCTCAGGATAGCCTATAATCTCCAGTGAAAATGGACTCAGATCTTAATGCCCCATTCATGTGGTTGATCATCCCACATTATTCCACCACAGGACTGCTAGTGTAATTTCTGTCACTCCTGTCCTTTGATAACACAAAAGGAGTTTTTAATAATCAAAGGTTGAAAAATAGGCTTCTTCTTTGGTTGGTGAGACAGTATTTGTCATAAATTTCCATAATCCCATAGTATTAGGTTCTACTGAGTATAAAGCGTGTATACCAGCAATTTACACAGCATCCATGAAAACATAAGGAATGTTGGGTAGTCATCACAGCAGGGTTGCTGAGGGGGATGGGGTGGATAAGGGCGATGTTCATGGTGAAGCTGGTGGTGAGATGGAGGGGACTGTATTGATCTGCCTTTAGGCACAGAGGATTTAGGTCTGAGCCAACGTCTCTATTAGCCTTCAACCACTACCTTTTCCAGTCAAGCTGGGAAGGAGGAGAGGAAGCCCTGGATGCTGATGGAATCACCCTACTCTCATTCCTGTGCTGAACTTGTCTTCCCCAAATCCCTGAAACACAAAGCTGGCACAGGACGACACTGGAACCAGATTATTCATTTATTGAAAGCCAAAAATCTGGACTGGCACTATAGCATTTATATTTTTTGTGTGCTTATTTCTTTATAAAATTAGGAAAGGATCAAATTAACGCCTCATGCATTTATGAAGGATAGAGAAAGTGAAATTTCAGGATAAAGTTGAGCACTTTGTTATGAGGCTAAGGGAGCACACTGAAGTTCCATTCACAGGAATGGCCTCATCCTTCCTTTTCTGTTCCTACCCAAGGAATAAAATATCCTGAGAGTGTCCATTATCTCCTCCCCAGGACCCCTCTTGTAATTGCTGAGTCTCTCTGATGTGAACTGAATGTTTTTTGTTTGTTTGTTTTTGCAGTGACACAGTTAGAAGGCAGCTGGTAGCTCATGCTTATAATTCTTGCCAGTCAGGAGGCAGCAATCAGGAGGGTTGCAGTTGAAAGCCAGCCCGGGCAAATAGTTTGTGAGAACTTATCCTGAAAAATCCATCACAAAAAAGGGCTGGTGGTGTATGCCCTGAGTTCAAGCCCCAGTACTGCAGGAAAAAAAAAAAAAAGAAGAAGAAAGAAAGAAAAAGAAACCTACCAGCATTTCCAATTCAAACCCTCGAGAGAATGACTTTAACCCTGTAAAATTCTTTCTCCTGTTCCTCATTTAAATCACTCATTTACTTGTTTGCATCTTCATTGATACATAGGCTTCCTAAAGCAGGAGACCTCTCTGTTTTGTTCAGCATGCACCTTAGGATCTATTGCAGAACCTGGCAGTGTATACTTCTCCACACAACGGCTATATGAATGAATTGTGCTATTTATTTTTTCCTTTCATGTGTGTGTGTGTGTGTGTGTGTGTGTGTGTGTGTTGCACTGTTAACAGGCAGTTTGTTCCTGTCTGTTCCCTCCTGACTCTTCCTTGTGGTCTTTATTTTCATATTAATCATATTATTTTCTTATATATTTTATCTTTTTATTACATAAATTTTTATTATGTATAAAAATACATATAAAATAAAGGGTCTCCCTTGACATAGTCACCCAGATCCAATAGTTGTCAACTCAGGAGACTTTTTTTTCATCTCTATGTCCATCCATTCACTTACTCTGGTCACAATAACAAAGAATTATAAGTATATAATATTTATAAATACTTCACAAGGACTATTTTTTAAAATAACAATAATATCACACCAAAAAACTGCCTGCAAATCACATTGAAATCTATAATTATTCTTTAATATCACCTGATATTTAGTCAATATTCAAGTTTCTAGTTGCTATGTAAGTGTCATGAATTATATTTGATAGTTTGTTAAGTTCAAACAAGTTCTGTGAATTGTGATTATTTGAGGCTTCTTTTCTTTCTCCTAAAAATACCTTTTAATTTTTCATGTGCCCCCAATGAACAGATTATTGAAAAATTCATTTTATCAAATGAAATAATTTTAGTTAAGGCAAAACTACACACAGGTTATATAGCATGGAGGACTTCTAGCTTAGAAAAGTATTTTGCAAAAGTCAACTCTAGGTCTAGTTGAAGATGACCCTGTGCAGAACCTACCTCCACTCCAGCTGCAGCCAAGAGCCAGCGGATGGACTCCATTCTGCCCCGGGCATTGAAGTAGTGAAGAATGGGCTTCCCCACCATGTCAGTAGTCTCTTGGTTTCACTAAATGTGAATGGATGAATGAATGAATCAATCAATCAATCAACACAAGAAAAAATGTTCTTTGAGATCATGGGTAATTACCCAGCACTACACAGGACTATCCATTTTCCTGGAGGAGTCCCAGGAAGATCTTCCTTGGCCCAAATTTTACCCATCAGTGGCTGACATGCTGATACTGAAGCAAACCAGTCACGTGTGTCCAGCTGTCCTCACTTGGAGGACATAAACAGAGCAGCCTGGTGTACCAGGTAAAGGACTTGGGAGCCTGACAGGGGATCTTGAAGACTTAACATTGGCAGGGAGAAGCAGCGGAAGCAGAGCTTTCCTAGCATCTGGGGTCCTGGGTTGCTTTGTTCAGAAGCCTTCAATGTGGCTCAGCCTCACCCTGACTGCACCCCAAACATAACTTCTCCCCACAAGAGAAGGTGCTGATTTCATTCTCTACTGGAAATTCCTCCCACTTTTCCACTGCTGGATTGAATTTTATTTTATGATCTGCATAAGTGTGGTAGTTGCCACATAACTGTGTATTACAAGGACAGTAACTAACCTGGATTTCATGTCTACCACATAACAAGCAGGTTTTCACTTTTATTTTCATACACTCATCATAGAAGTTACTTGATATAGAACCTTTATTGTTGTAAGTTTACAGATGAGAATATTGTATCAAATACACTTTTATCTGACAATAAAGTCTCAGACCTTCTTTATAACATTGTTTGCAAACTCTGGGTAATGACTTACTAGTGGGTTATAAAATCAACACCACGCATTCTGAGTAGCATCTTTAAGTTCCAATGTCGTGGAAAACATCATGGTGACATACATAGTAAAAGGAAGTACACTTTTGGTGACTCATTCATGTTCATTACATTTATATTCTGCATATGTATATATGACTGTATCTTTTGAGTTGATATAAGATTTAAGAGAAAAACCCCTTGCTGAAACTAGCCAAGGGAGTTTGACAGTTCTTGTTACTCAGTTCCAAGGCTATTCTGCACTGTTGACATTTGGGGCCAGGTAGCTCTTTGTTCTGGGAAGTTGCCCCGAGCATTGCCACATATTTACTAAGCTGTTTTCTAATATAGAGATGTGTACCCTTCATCCCCAATCATGACAATCATGTCTTCTGGGGACAGAGTCACCTCCGGCTGAGAACTGCTATTCTACTCCAAACTGCTTGGGACAACAGCACCGAGAAGAGAGCCAACGAGAGAACCTCACTCTATGCCCAATGTGTTCAGCAGTGGGACTGGGCTAGTTGTGTCAGAAGTATGGACATAAAAGCCCAGGATTCTTTGTACAGCAAGAGTCAAATTACCCAGCAGTGGAAAAATTATCCTTCCTTTAGGAAGGATAATTTCTGTCCTACTTTAAGTTGCCAGACCTCTGGCCAGAAAACACTTAAGATGTTTTTGTAAGATTTTGTGACCGATTTTAACACATACGTATTTCTTTTTCATACAAAAACTTGTATGTTAAAAAATCAGTAATAAACTTGAATCTTTATGAGTCAAAATAGGTTTTTTTTTCTTTCTTTAATGCTCTCTGTCTGGTTTACATATAAATGTCTCTCTTTTTAAAATGTTCCGATGTAGGGCTGGTGGAGTTTGCTAGCAGTGCCTGCCTAACAAACATGAGGCTCTGAGTTCAAACCCCAGTACCACCAAAAACAATAATAACAATAAAATGTTTCAATGAAACTTCTTAACACTTGCTGAGCAGTTTCTATGTGTCAGGTAATGATGGCTGGTGGAGAAGATGAAACCAGCCTGATCTGATCTCTGACTAAAGGGGGTTAAGACTAGTTGGGGCCTTAGAATTGTGGACACCTGACAGAGCAGAATGTGCCCTGCAGTGGCTTCACTTTATAGGTTCCTGAGACTTTACCCCAAGACTCATCATTCTATTATCTAAGCAAGTCCAGGCCCACGGAAAAGGTTGCCATCCTTTTAAGGACATTCTCGCATATGTGGGCTCCTACCTGCCACGTCAGCATCATCCAGACTCTGCAGCTTTCTCACCCCTCAGACTTCAGCCTTCCTGCCCTTAGATTGGGGTTGGTCCTCATAGCTATCTAAAACAGCTGTGGGCAGTATCTTATGAATGCTTGGTCTCCACTGCATTGCAGTATCTTCTCCTGTAGGCATCATAGTGGTTTTATTTCTTTCCTATGAATTCTGGTTTATCCTAACCTGCCCCAACACCAGTGTGGCTTTTCACCTGGTCTCTAAGATTCTGAAACTTTCTGCATAGACCTTTGCTTTATTCTTTTTATATTGGCAATTTTTCCAGAGTACTGTTGACTCTTGATTTGTGACATCCTATTTGATTACTATATGTGCCTCGTGAAAACTAAGCATTTGCCGCACTGGTGTATCTAGCTCTCCCTTCATGACTTCCCAAGTTACAGAGCTAGAGGGGATCTGAGAGGTCAGTGAGCTCTTCCTCCAAAATTTTGATGAAGTTTTTGAACTCTAGAGAAAGTGTGGGGGGCAGGGGGGAGAAATGAACCAAGCCTTGTATGCACATATGAATAATAAAAGAAAAATGAAAAAAAAAAAAAGAAAGTGTGTTTACCAGCTTCTAGTGATAGTCTGAGTTTTATCCTAGTTCTGACATTCAGACTAGTTTTTTTCAGTTATATCTTATTACTGAAACTTTACACTTTTCTTGTACTCCCTCACCTACAAACTAATTTGTGAACTCCCAGGAAACAGAGAAGTTAACATATTATTTTAACCTGGTACATTGTGCAACATTGAATCCACAGTCCAGAGATATCACAGTTCAACAGCTAAACAGCTATATATCTTTTCTTTTTTTATGTTTGTTTTATAAGGACTTATAATTTAAGAATAGTGTTAGTAGAGTACAATCAAATAATAAGATAGGATCATGGTAACAAAATAGCAAGTCCTGTTTTTGAAACTTGCCATTTTGTTATTTAAAGAAAATTATCAAAGTAATGAAGTCTCCTACATATAGAAACAAACTGAGTGAAAAACATTGTGTAAGTGCCTGGGTAGGGTGGCCCAGGGGAATATTTAACTTGGCAAAAGAAAGGAATTTGGAATTATCTGTTGGAGTGGGAACATGGCAGTTCAAGAGAAAAGCATTGTTCTTAACTTTGCCCAAGAAAAGAAGTAAATCCAGATTCACTTTCCTTACTATCCTAAAATCATGTGTATATTTAGATTAATTTACAAGTTGAGACTTTAAACCTTATCCACCCTTTGAACTCAGCAATGCTGAAGGAGAAGGGAGAGGAGGAGGAACAAGGAAGATAAGAGAAAGATAAGGTGGAGGAAGATTAACAAGAATTAGAGGGAAGGAGGAGAAGGAGATAAGGAAGGAGGGAAAGAAGGAATAGGAAGTAGGGGAAATAGCTTGCTACTTGGTGCCCCTATAAAAAGCAACTCATATGAATAATAAGCGGACACACGTGAAATCAATTATGGAAGGGTAAATGTTTATTCTTATTGTCGGGTTTTGATAACTGGTTTCCCAATTGGAAATTCTTAAGTGGAATAACAGGCAAACAACTGTAAAGATACGTGTTCTTTTTCATCTCACATTCGACCCCAAATGTTTGACTCTACCAAATTTAAACCCATTACACTTGTGTGTCAAATCTGGTCCAAATCACACTAATTTGTACTTTTCAATAGATAGTACAAAGTTGGTGTAAGCTCATACACACCACCAGGCACGGGTAGTGTTATATTTTCAGATCTATGAGCTGATGATAATACCACTTTAATTTTTCTTATACCATCTCAAGTTCTGTGCCATTGATCTCTGAATTCTTTTTTTATTTGTTCTCCAAGAACTAGTAACCTTGAATTGTCTCCTGAGCACACAAAAAAGACAATAGAACATAAATTACTTGCACAGAATATCACAATGAAAACTATTTTCACAGTGAAGCAAATGTTAGAACAATTAGAATTATTAAAAAAGACAGTACTAACCTAAGTGAAGTCCAGTTACCCTTTAGCTCAGCTTCTCAAGGCCAATTCAAGATGGGAATGAAAGCTGCTTTAAATATGGTGACAAATATTGCCCTACAAAGTAGGAGGGGACCAATAGGGAACAGCCACTCCTTCAGTTTTCAAGGTCTCAGAGTTCTTTGCCAGACAGAAAGAAGATAAGTCAGCAATTTTGTACTTCTAATTTATCCATGAATGCACTAACAAGGTGTAGATACCAAGTCCATTTGGCTGCCCCAGGAGATCATTGAAGATTAGCTTTCTTTGAACACTGCTTACAAAGGATTTTATGAAATCCGCTGCAAGGATTATAGCAGATGAAAAAACTTGTGGGGGAAGGAGGAGAGCTTGCTATAAGAGTGATGTCAGGAAAGGAGACTTAGTTCAAGAATTGGGAGACTGTAATCTACAGTTCTAGAATGGGCTAAATTGTGAACCCTCTTTCCCTAGATCCACAGGCCCAAGGCAGCTGGCTGAGTGGTCCGAGCCCTGGATGGGAAGCCCCCAGCTGCATGTCGAGCCCTGGGGTCAGAACAGACCCTTCTTTCCTGGGCTGCATTTAACCTTTCTCTCTAGCATGGACCTTGCACCCACTGTTTCTTCTCTTGAAACGCTCCTCTCCCTACTATACAACATTCTGTGCTCTATCATGTCAGTATTCTGACATGATGTGTTTAATATCTGCTTTTCCCCTGTGAGCTCTGAGCTTCTTCAGGGCAAGGCTGCAAGTTCCATGACTGGCCACAATGTCCAGCACATAACAGGGGCTTAATAAATCTTTCTGTCTGTGATGGAAATTTGCCAGCATAAACAAATGTAGAAGGAACAGTGTGATAGCCTTGCTGTTCCCATCATTGTGCTTCAACAGTTTTTAACATATTTGAATCAAATCTTAGACTTCCTTTCATTTTTCAATAAAAAAATAATGTGTTCTTTTAAACTCTTTGAAATAATTTACATTATAGAAAAGTTTTAAACTAGGACTAGGAGTGTAA